CACCCAGTGGAGCCCCGCCTGTGCATCGACCTGCCTACTCGCCGGACAACCCACACCCTCGTCACCTGCTACACCACCAGAGCCAGTGGATCTATCTGCCATTCCCTCAGACTACCACAATCTCCAGCAGGTGTTTAACAAACACATGGCCACGGACTGCCTTGTGCCCCGTGTCTTATCTTCCCAGCCGCTATCGCTTCTCCGGACTATGGACCTCCTCAACTCCACATCACTCCACCACGCAGGTCGATGCACAGTCTCCCATTAACTGTTTCTGTGACTCTGTCCCCCTCAGCAACCATCCGCCACGACCAGTCCAGGAGTGAATCCCAGCGTCCGCAGCCCGGCCTCCTCCTTATCATCTCATCACTGACTGTATGTTTTCCTGCCGCTCGACACCTGGTTCTGCTCCGTATTCCTTCACCTGGTTGTACACATAATTGTTATCGTCACTGTAAATAAATTGAGCACTTCTTGCACCGAAGTCAGCTACCTGGGTCCGTCATTTTTTTACTCGCTCACCTCCCTACCAGAGCGATCCTAACACAAACTTCACTTTTGCTCATGCTCGAGAGTGTTAAGTAATAAAAGTCAAGTGACACAAATCTAAATTACCAGACCTTCTCTCCAATTTTCCTATTTTTAAACAGACTTTCACCTGGTGGGAGCGACCTCAGTACTCCATTTGCATTGTACTCAGACTTACAGGATATTTGTTTGCTTGATTTTTTCAATGTTAACAGGAGTGACTGGGTGACCTCATACAAGGTCATGCTGAGCAATGACACTCATACCTGGGTAACAGTGAAGAACGGCTCAGAAGACTTGGTGAGTAACAATCACAACATGTGCCATCTCCTGACATACTGCTACAAAGTAGGCAGCTGTTAGCCACATCGCAACACTTGTGAGCTCAAGGATTATTGCCCTTTCTGTCTGTTAACTTGCTTCATAAGGATGGGTTGTTTTGTTTGTTTACTCCCTGACTGACTGGAACCAAATAAAGAAATTAATTCTTGCTCTCTTACAGAGGAAGATTTAGAGCTCTGCTTATTTCCAAGCTTAATGAGCTGAGGGGAATAGTAAATACTGATTATCCTCAAGCAGATGGGACCCTCATCCAGGTTCATTGTCAGAACTGTCTCTTTTCTACTGTAGCTGAACAGACATAAAGAAAATACAACAGTACTTTGACAACATACTAAAGCAGCAACTGATAATTGGTGTATATAGCTGTAAAATCACAATATTAATGTAACCACAATATTAATAATCCTATTTTAAATGAACTTGCAGATTTGAGTTGATATTTTTGAAGAAAATCATATTGTTCCTCCCTGTATCCCCCGCTAATGAAATTGTCTTGTAACTTTACACTCCCTTGGCTGGCAATGTCATCAGTGTGGGAGATAATGTCTCTGCTTCCTGCTCACCCACTCACACAACCTTTGTACCAAATGCCAAACTGCACTGTTTGTCTTTCAAAATGCCAAAAGGTGTAGAGAAGAGCGCCAACCATGGGTGTTAAAATTTACAATCAGATCCCAGTGGCATCAAATCTTAATGACATTCTGCAGGTGTGTTTGTTTAAGGCTTATATGGACTAAAATCTCTGTCCTGCACATGCTCTAACTGAATTTATTCTAATCCTCAAAGCTTCTTTAAGAGCTACTCTGTGTTCTGTCTGTCATACATGCTGACTTTGGCTTTTATTAATTTTACTACATACATCAGGCTCGTTTACAGCTGTTCAAACTGTGTCACTAGCGTATTTCTCATACAGCAATAATTTAAATGAAAAGGCTGAACTCAACTGCTTTTTACTTTATAAAAAACAAACAAACAAAAAAAAACACACCTATTCTCAGTTGTTTATTCACCATCTGGCTGAATGTGTTTGCCTCAGTAGATCTTCCCTGCCAACAGAGAAAAGGAGATCCCTGTCCGGAACATCTTCCCAGAACCAGTGGTCGCCCGGTACATTCGAGTCAACCCTTGCTCTTGGTTTAATAGAGGCAGTATCTGTATGAGAGTGGAGATCCTTGGCTGTCCTATGTCAGGTGATGTGTTTGTACAGACAACGTACCACCAAAGGGTAGAATTATCAGAATAATACAGAATTTGGGGCTTAAAACAGACATGTGACAGCTCTGCATGAAAAAAATTCAGCCTGTTTCTTTGTATGAGGCCACATGCACTGGCACAGTGGGGGGCCAAAGCAAAGTGCTTTAGCAGAAGCCTAGGTTTTTAAAATTACTGCTTTGTTCACGTTACTAGAACTTTGTCATTATGGTTACAATAATGAACACTTGGCTATAATTAAGGACTGCAGTTATGCTTACTGTTATGGTTTAGTCCCCCTCACCAGGAGGGTGAGGGAGAACTGGGGTTAGACTCAAGATGGCTGACCCAGGTGCTAGTACAAAAAAAGTGGTTTAATGGAATAAAAACTTAACAAAACAGGGTCCATAATACATACAACAAGGGAAGGGTAGTGATGACTAAGGAGACCAGGACGGTAAACACACAAACTAACGACAGGAACTAGGATAGCAGGAGGATGAGAACGGATAGATGAACAAAAAGAACCAACGTAAAACAATGCAATCCACAGCACAGAGACTGTCAGCGTGGAAGACTAAGCACATATTTCTGTATTGCTAACTGCATAATTAGCGTGATAAGGTCAAGCCAAAACGCACAGAGACTGTCAGCGTAGCATCTTA